AGAGAGAGAGAGAGAGAGAGAGAGAGAGAGAGAGAGAGAGAGAGAGAGAGAGAGAGAAGGCAGATTACATGATATAAACAAAACATCCCCCACTGTCTTTTACCAAAATATGAAAAACGGCCATGCACACTTCGGCTATGAGGCTAAAGACACCCTCAAGCAAAGGCTGTGACAGGGCTACGTTACAGAAATGAACATTATTGTTCATGTTGTCTTTTTGAAAAAGTACATAAAAGGCCTGTGAGGTAGGAATAAAATGAAGGCATGAAGAGCAAATGGTTGTGCAGGCATGCTCTTGAGTCAGAAGGAAGGTCTGAAAAGCCTCGTGGGAATGCAGTTGAACGCAGACACCGTTGCCCTCAGTGCTGTGGAATGTGGGTTGCACAAAACCTCGAGGTGTCGGTAGCACTTGGCACGCTGTGCAGGCGGGACTCTCTCTAGCCATCCAGCCATTTGTCTCCCTCAGATAATATGCCAAACTGCTTATTTAAAAGCCCAACAAAGGGATGCCTTCTCACGCAGAGCACTCAGAGAAGGGCTTTTGTCACTTTTCAGCCAGAACTCTTAGTGTCCCTCAGCAAGAATGACCCAGAGCCAGGAGCTCTCGGTACTGCTGTGAAGAGTGGCCCCACCCAATTCTAGATCACTGTATTGCTTCTGACCAGAGGTGTCAAGTCCACAGCAGAGCTCGTGCTGACCGGGGAAGCCTGTCCCTCTTTATGCCTTCTCCAGCTCAGTGATAGCCGGATTTCACCTTGTTCATTTAGATTTGTTATTACTGCTTTCTGGGATGGGGTCACAGGTGGCCCAAGCTGGCCTTAGATTCTCTATGTAACCAGTCTCCATGTGCCACCACATTCAGTTCTAGATTTTTGGTATGGTTCGCTGAAATCTAGAAAGTAGTATTTTCCTCACTACTTTCTGATTCCACGCTTCTGTGATCATGGAGACTGAACCCAGGGTCCCGTGCTTGGCAAGTCCTCCACCACTGTCCTAAAGCCCCTGCTCTGTGCTGCACTCCGAGGTGAAATCTGCTGACACCAAAAGCCTGAGATGAGTCCACAAGTTTAATCCCAGCACTTGGGAGGCAGAGGCAGGCAGACCTCTGTGAGTTCCAGGCTAGTCTGGTCTAAAGAGTGAGTTCTAGGACAGCCAGGGCTACATAGAGACTGTTTCAAAAAGCAAACAAACAGCACCAACTGGATGAGGGGGTAACACAGAGAGACGTGAGGATTGGATGGGAAATTGATCTAAACAAATTCTACAGTGCCTTCTAACCTGGAAAGTTCTAGCAATCCTTTAGTACAGTGGTACTCAAGCTTCCTAGTGCTACAACCCTTTAACCTAGTTCCTCTTGTTGTGCTGACCCCTGACCATAAGATTATTGTCATTGCTACTTCATAACTGTAGTTTTGCTACAGAAAATTGGGAATCGTTCTACCTCAAGACCCAGCTTCTGGGCATATACCCAAAAGATGCTACCATTATGAATCATAACATAACTATCCGTGTTTTCCAATGGTCTTAGATGACCCCTGTGAAAGAATTGTTCAACAACTCACAAGGGATCCTGACCCACAAGTTGACAAACACTGTTTTAGACCAGGTATGATGGAATGCAGCATGGCTGGCAGGAGGTAGGGGGGACAGAGAGTGGGCTGGAGATATGGCTAGGATAGTATATCACTCATGAAGCATACACAAAGGCCTGGGGTGAGTCTGAAGCACCCACATAAACCAGCTGTGAAAGTGCCCACTAAAATCCCAGACAGAGGCAGGAGGATCACTGTGAGTTTGAGGCTATCTGTATAGTGAGATCTTAAATATAAAACAAATAAACAAACAAACTGGAGGAAAAGTTTTGCCATTTCAGAGAGTGACTAATCACAGATTAGTCAAATGAGTGGAACACAGGGAGAGGGGCAGATGAGCCACACTTTGACGGGGTGAACAGAAGAGCCAGGGAGCTGGTAGTGATTATAGAGGCAGGAGGTTCCACCCACGTCACCTTGGTTATGAACAGGGAGAGCACAAGAAGGCTTGTGACAACAGATACGCCTGGCTCTCCCGATGTCTGCAACCTCACTTTGAGTAACGTCACAGTTAAACATTATCTTCAGGGAATTCTTATCAAAATGAACAATTGTTTCTTGAAACGAGGAGTCTTATGTATGGTTCATTCCTAACAATGTCTTTGTGCGCCCACTTTCCCCTCCCAGAACCCCAGGATAATTGTGTGCTTGTGGCTTTCAAGTTGGTATTTTTTATAGATTTCTTGAAATTTTCTACATAAACAATCAGGTCAGCCGCATATTAATATAGCTTCGATGTCACGTTCCGATCAGGGAGCCTTCTGTTCCTTTTTCTCTAGGATATCATGCTTCTTTTTTTTTTTTTGGTTTTTCGTGACAGGGTTTCTCTGTGTAGCCCTGGCTGTCCTGGAACTCATTCTGTAGACCAGGCTAGCCTCGAACTCAGAAATTCGCCTGCCTCTGCCTCCCAAGTGCTGGGATTAAAGGCGTGCGCCACCACCGCCCGGCAGATATCATGCTTCTTATCCTGATGCGTGTGAACATCTTTGCCTTGTTCCTAATATTAGGGGAAATGCACGTGGCCTTTCACTGGAAAAGGCAATGCCACCTGTCAGTTTCTCCCAGACGCTCTTGCACAATGAGGAAGTTCCTTTTTCTTCATAGTTTGATGAGGAATTCATTGAGAATCTATATTGAATGCCATCAAATACCTTTTTTGCACCCATTGAGACATGCTTTCCTTGTTTGTTAATATACTGAATTACATGTACTGAATGCCTCAAATATTGGAGTCTGTGGAATCAAGCAGTTACCTTCAGAACACAGTTAGGGTAACTTGGATTATGGTCATTAACTTTAGGCTATAAATTAACATTTAGAATAATTTTCTTGAAAGCTGAACTCATGTTTCATGTTCCTTGGGGTAATGGGTGGAGCCTTGGAAAGATTGGCTTTCTCACATGTCCAATGAGAAATAGCACTGGGGCTAAACTAGTCCCAGGAGAGATGGCTGTGGACACACCCATAAAGCAATAAACCAAACAAGCCTGGGTCACAAGTTGACTTTTCTCTCCTTATGTTTTCTGATTGTTTCCAGTCATTGCAACAATATAGCTGCTGGATGCAACTTAAGGAGCGAAAGGTTTACTTTAGCTGCAGTTGAGGGTACAGTCCATTATAGCAGAGAAGAGACAGCGAGGAGTCCAGGCAGCCAGCCATCTGCCCTTGGGTGCTGACTTAGCACCATCAGTTATAAGCACCGTTTCAACTTTGCTCAAAGGGCAGAGTGACTGCCCGGCCCACCGCTAGTTATACTGTAAGAAACTAAGCAAAGGTGACAGTGGCTGGACCTTTGGTCCTCTCAATGACACACACACCATCCATGGGGATGGTGCGTTACTCAAACTGTCACTGCCTCCTCTCTTGCTTCACTCTTCAACTTAATGGCTCAGCCATAGTCCTTAAAAGTAGCCCCCCTCCCCCCGAGACCCACCTGGAAATGCCATCCCATAATGAGTGTACAGCAGCATCTGTGGAAGGGTTTTGTGGTTGGTTTAAAAAGCGGCTCTGCAAAAGTCCAGTCACTGCAGAGAGTGAAGCAGAACTGTGTGCATGAGTTAATGTGGTATTGTTTCCTCACAGGGTTACCTGGAGCCACAGGAAATCCAGGGGAAAAGGGAGAGAAGGGAGATGCTGGTGAACTGGGCTTACCTGGAAATGAGGGCCCACCAGGGCCGAAAGGTGACAAGGGAGACAAAGGAGACGTGTCCAATGATGTGCTTTTGACAGGTAGGCTGGTGTCTTCCTGGCACTAGGGCACAGAGACTTGCCCTGTCCAGCCCATGGCTGCTCTGGTGACTTTTCTCAGCTCTGGGCTCTGCTCTGCAGCAGGTTCTGGAGTACTTTCCCTCCTTGATTGTGTGAGACAGAGTCTTCTGTACACCCAGGCTAACCTGGAACTATCTATGTAGCAGAAACTGACTAGCCTTGTTCAACCCTCCTTCTCCACCTCTCAAGTGTTGCAACTATAGCTGTATACCACTGAGCTCAGCATGGTGGTCTGCAGTTTCAAAGCTATGCCTGTTTTTCCATGTAGGCAAGTCTGAATCTGGTATCTAGCGTGAGGAATTTAATGCATTTACCTTGGCTGGAAGGATGTGGCGGCTCCTGCCTGTAGTCCTAAGCATGAGGAGGCTAAAGCTGAAAGCTTCCTTCAAGTTTGATTACATGGTCAGATCAAAGTCACACAGTGAACAAAAGCAGAGTCCAGTGAGCCTCCCAGGTGGTCCGAGACTCACCACTGCTTCTCCTACCTGGCTATCAAGTAGGAGGACTTCAAATGACAGGTGACCAATCTCCCCGTAGGCACTCTGAGTATCTCTGGGATTGGACAGTAATCAAGGTCTATAGAAGATGAGTGTCTAGCTCAGGAATAAAGTGTTCACCTGGCTTGCAAGAGCTGCTGGGTTAAATTCCCTAGCATAAGGAGAGTGGGAAGGACAGGGAGGAGGGAAAAGAGAGAAGAAGAGGAAGAAGTAGATGAAGAGAAGGAAGGGAAGAGTAAGAAGAGTTCCTCAGGGATTTTAGGAAGTCAGAACTGGGACTCTGGCACTGGAGTGACAAAGGCCTGGCTCTGTTGAGCCACTAGAGCTGAGATCCTGCTCTGGTGACCTTAAGTAACCACCACTTTCTAGCAGAATCCTCCTGAGAGGGTCCCACTACCTCCTCACAGAGAGACTTGGAAGATTGATAAAACTCTTGGCATAGATCTTACAGACAGTGGATCATCAGGACCTACTATGGTAGCTCTTTAATTCAGTAAAGACAGCACTCACTTAAGTCATCTCTAGGAAGGGGTGCACACAGTGGGACTCCAGAGCTGCTTTCTTATCTTTCCCTGACTGGAAACTGTCCCTGTGGAGAATATTATATCAGTTCCTCTTTTTCTTTCTCTCTAGGTGCCAAAGGTGACCAAGGTCCCCCTGGCCCACCTGGCCCCCCAGGGCCCCCAGGCCCTCCTGGAAGCAGAAGGTCCAAAGGCCCTCGACAGCCAAACGTGTTCAACAGCCAGTGTCCAGGTCGCCAAGCCCTGCCCTCAGGGATTCCACTCCTTACACTAAAGATAGCCTCTTCCAGACTTCGTGACCAAATTTTGAAAGGAGATATTATCCTAAATGAAACTCATCCCTGAAATATGCTCACAGGAAGTCTGAATACCTGCCCTGGGAATGGGGACTATGGTCAGGCCCAACACTGAGCCTATCACCCCTTCCCTTGCTGGTCTCCCCACACTGACCTCCATGTTGTGACTCTTCCTGGCCATATAACCCTTTCCTTCCCCCAGGAGAAGGGTTTTATTTGGTTTGTTTTTAATTACTGTTACAACTTAAAGACACAGTGTCACTAGGTCCCCTGAGAGCAGCATCTTGAGATCTAAGCTGTTAACTGTAGCTACAAATTCCCGAGAGAGTAAGAAACCAGAAGATAGTGGGGCAGTCAGATTGGTTAACACCCTGCTGAGAATGATCACAGAATCTCTGTCACTGTCAGTACTGTGTGTGTTGGGGGCAGGAGGTTGAACCCAGAGCCCGGTGCTTACCACTAAGCTATACCTCCAGTCCTCTGCCACTTAGTTTTGAGTGCTAAGACTGCCAGGCACAGTGCTAAGTACTTAGTTCTACTGATCCCTATGACTATCCTAGGATGCTGACATGCTTGTTTCTAACTTACAGAGAGAAAACAGACAGCCAAGGAGCTACCAGGCCCAGCTCAAGTCAAAAGTTTCTTAGAAACAAAGGATAATAATAATAGGAAGCTATTTCAACAGTGGATTTAAAACTAGAGGTTACCCAGAATGTCTTGGCTGTCTTATACCACAAGGCACAACTTGAGCTGTCATTTCAGCAGCAGATGTGGAGGAGGACCCTGACTTTCTCCAAACACCTGCATTGTTTGGAATAGTGGTCTTCCTAGACATTTCCAGAGAATGGACCCAGCCATAAGACTGAAACTCTGGTTGGGAGCCTGTGGCTTGGGCTTGCTAAAAAGCAAGTGACCAAGAAACATGGTAGAGATGTTATAATGAATACATTTGTGACTTTGCCAGAAAGTTATAGACACCATTGTGACAACTATATGACCCATTGTGACAACTGCATTGATTGTTGTCGTTTTAGGGGAGACGTGTGTCATACCCAATGATGATACCTTGGTGGGAAGAGCTGACGAGAAAGTTAATGAGTCCCATTCTCCACAGACAGGTAGGAACCCCCGCCCCTGGGCTGGGTGCACCTTAGTGCCTGTGTGTTTCATTTGCCTGCACAGGCCTTGTATTCAATCCCCAGCACCGCGCACAAATATTCTATTTGGAAATTCAAAACTAAATGCCTTAACCAGCTGGTACATGACTCTCTTTTTTTCTGACAGAATCCATGATCACTTCCATTGGCAACCCAGCCCAAGTCCTAAAAGTGAGAGAGACTTTTGGGACTTGGATAAGAGAGTCTGCTAACAAAAGTGATGACCGCATTTGGGTGACTGAACATTTTTCAGGTACTTCTATCTAGAAATGGAAATCATATTTGTTGCCTACCTACAAGCTTATTCTATACCCACGTGTCTGAGATATCCACTAGTGTGAGAATAAGGCTCCTTGTCGTAGAAAGCATAACTGAATGTGTAGAACACCTTCTAGCTTGGATGTGTTGGTTGCAAGCTTTGTAGTTCAGGTCCCAGATACATGACTATGCAATGTAAACTATCCAATCTCAACACAGTAGCCAGGCAGAAATAAAGAGCAGGACAGCTACAGGTTTTATCAACTAATTCATACTGCAGAAGATATATAAAAGACAAATTATGGCTTACAAATACTAACCATCTGGCTCTGCGATCTGGTGTGTTAAGGATGATATGACCTTAGCTATAAAAACCAAATTCAGTGGGCACAGCCCATTGCTCTCTGAGTTTGAGACCATCCTATGAGAGTACTTTTGGCCATATTTCTCACATATTTGTTGGATGGAGCCCAGGGGAGAAGATAGAGAACCATCTCACAGCCTTTCCATGTCTGAAGATAGACCTGGTCACACTGTCCCCAAAAGATGTGAAGTGGCCAGTGGTAGTAAGAGTGACTTCATTCCAGAAGACTCTGGCGGTACACATCCATTGGTCAAAAGCTAAGAATCATTTCTTTATTTCATCAGCACGAACTGATGAGTCCAGTAGTAACCTCTGTCTACCAAGCTGGGGGCTTGAGGCTCAAAGAAAGAGAGAAGTGTTGCGTAGGAGCAGCGGTGGTCTTGGTGCTTAGGAAGGGATGGGGGCAGCAAGCGGAAGCTGTACAAGCACCAGATATTTATAAATACTATAGATTTTATAAATGCTATAGAGTGAGGTGGGTGGGAGGGGACAGGTGTTCGTTCAGCAGCATGTGTGTTCATGGGTAAGAGAATCATTGCTGGTGGGTAAGAGACTCCCTCCTCCCCTCCCACAGGCATCATGGTGAAGGAGTTCAAAGACCTGCCGGCACTCCTCAATGGCAGCTTCACCCTCCTCCACCTCCCACATTATTTTCATGGCTGTGGGCACGCTGTCTACAACAACTCTCTCTACTACCACAAAGGAGGCTCCAACACCATTGTGAGGTGAGCCGCCATGCGTGCCCTGCAGTGTCTCCTCACAGTGCGTATGCTGGCTGTGGCTCAGATGTGTTCTGTGATCTTTATGTGCCTAGGTAGATCAATCAGGGTTTGTCTCCCAATAGAATGGCAGAAAACAGTGAGGGAGTCCCACACCCGGGCCCCTGCTGATGCACACCCATGGGAGGATAAGAGGCAGGGAGAAGGAGACATGGAGTTTTGGCCACTGCCACTCACATCCGTTGAGACAGGAAGCAAGCAAGGGCAGAGCTTTCCTGGCACAAAGGGCAGAGCTTTCCTGGCATGACTCTTTCCATGGAGGAGATGTAAAGACAACATCTATCCTTCCTCCCAAAGTCCCAGCAACAAACAGAGGTGTGATTCCACCAAAAGTCCCGTCTGGGGAACCAGGGAGTTTATCAGGCTTACTTACAGAGCAGTGGGCAAGGGGTGACAGGCAGGAACACAGTGACCTTACAGCAGTCACACTGGAAAGTCATCCCAGCATGGATGATGGCTGCTCCTTCCCCTAGTCCTTCTCCACCTACATACTCTTGCTCCTCCTCAAGATCCCCAAGGTCACATGCAGTTAGGGCAGAACTGCTTACAACGGGTTGAAAGGGTGGTTGAATACTTGTGAGAAACCCATGGCTCTCCCTACTCTCTTCTATGAGGGAAGGTCAGCAGTCAACACCCTCAGTGTCATGATCTTTTGAAAGCAGACTCAGCCAGTTTAGCTTGGAGGATAGCGAGACAGGAAATGCTCACCCCTTGCCTCGCTCTCCTCCCCTATGCTACCACATGACATCATCTCTTGTCATCCTTTATGGGTAAAATCTGGTGTAGAAGAGGAAAGAATTTATCTCCCACTCAGACACCTTCACCAGAGCCCCTGGTGCCTGATATCTGTTTAATGGGTAGCTCCCTGTTAACATGTTATTACCACATGTTGTGGGGATAGGGGAGTTCTAAGAAGAAACCCTAAAATGAGAAATGATATCTTTTTAAAAATGGAGTTTGGAGGTTTGGCTTTTGAGGTATGAGTTCAAATCCAGGGCCTCACACATACTAGAAATAGTCTTTACCAATGAGCACATTATATCTCCCCCTCCTTTCTACTTCTAAGTTTTACTGAAAGAACACTTTCCCTGGAGAAATGTAACAATAATCTACCTGCTCCTTAAGGAACACTGGCACACCAAAGTGTGACTCCTCTAAAGTGTAACTTGGGGAACCAGTGGATCTATTGGGCATGCTTTTAGAGCGTTTACACCCCAAAGCAGCCCCACCTCCAGGAAGCTTCACCCTGGCATGAAAGACACCTTTCCCCCAGCTTTACAAACTGAGTCCCCTTCCCCACTGCAGTGAACAAATACACTACACGCTAGGGCAGAATTCCAGACCGAGGACTTGACGCTCAGATGACTCAGTGACCCTCCTAACACCCCATGCCCTAGGAAGCAACAGCCACAATCAAGAAGCCCTGTCACAGAGTTTGTTGCTATGAGAAAGATGATAGCTCTTATGCTCAGAGTGTAGCGGTCTTCCACAGTCTTGCCAAGTTGCTCAGGCTGCTCTTAATTTCTCTGTGTTGTCAAGAAAGGCCTTGAACTTACGGTCATAGACCACTCATGAATGTTACATACCACTGCAGGTATAAGTAGAGTTCTTTATTTAAGCCTGTGCCTAGGCATTGACACAGGCCACAAAGAACTCTTCTCCCTAAGCAATATAGGATAATGTTTATAAAGAAAACCCAGAATTACTTCAAACCAGATGCAGCAGGGGGGGCTCAACATTTTCAAAGGTTTCAGCTCAGTTGATAAAAAAACAGGTACATGAGAAAGCTCTGCTCAGCAGGATGTCACCATAGAGGCTAGAGAGGAGTGAGGTGAAGTGCAAGACGGTCACTTTGGGGCATTTCACTTAACAATCATTCCACCTTAGCCTCCCAAGTACCCCAGATTATAGCCTTGTGCTCCCAGGCTTGGGTGAGCTGTGCTGAGTGGGTCGGGGACTCTCAGCTTAGACCTACAGCAAACCACATGCCTAGAGCAGAAGGCAGAGCAGAGTATATTGAAGGTGCTGCTCCTGTAGAACAGAGTTCCCAGCACTCAGGAGCTGGTATGGCTGAGTCCTTCCCAAGTGCTGTTCTTCTCAGGCTCCTTTCCAGCTTAACTCGGCTTTCCTGGTCTGCTTCGGTTTGCTGGGCTTCCTTAAAAGCCTTTGAGTCCCACCAGCCTCTTGCGCTCTGCTGCTCAAAAGCGCCCTCTGGTGTTTTCTTTTAATCTTAATATCCCAGATTTAGGTAGTGATTAAATCATAATATATATATGGTTTTGAGTCTGGGGAATCAGATCCCAGAGCTAAGGGGCATGGAACTCCATACATGGTTCTATTTATAATTCTTCTTTCTAGACAAGAAAGTTGTCTTCTCAGCCTCTACCACATCTCTTCTCAGCTAGTGACCTTTTCCTTAGTTTAAATTGTCTTTTTTTTTAATTAAAATTTTAGCATAAAATAAATGAATGACTAGCAAACTTTGGAGTTTTAAAACCTAAATTTAGGGGCTATCAATGTTCCCAGTTGAAAGAGTGTTCAAAGCTCTGGGTTTGATCTTCAGCACTGCAGAAGCAAGGCTTGGTGGTATAAGCCCAGTGCTTGGCAGGTGGAGGAAAGAGGATTAGGTGTTCAAGGCTATCCTCAGCTACACTGCTGATTTGGGGACAGTCCTTAACAGCACACTACTGTATCCCTTTGCTTCTGCTAGCACAGGCTAGTCACTGCCTTCACATCCTTGCTGCTCAGAACATCACTGAAGGGCAAGTAGAAAAGTTTCCTGGAGTCTTTTGACAACAGAGACCACCAGGCCTTGGTCCACTCTTGGTAACTCAGCTTAGTAAGGAGCAAAACAAATCACCCGGGTCCACAAACATGAGTAGCCTTGAGCGTTTCCATCTGGCCTCTTCCCTCCGACTCAGCCTTCTCATATATGGAACATATGTAAGCTTTGACTTGTTCCAGGACTAGCTTGTAACTTATTAAATCCATTTGTTCTATTTTATGTCTTCCACACAGCTAGTTACTCCTCAGGTTTACCCGACCATCTCCTCCGGAGCACAGCTCCAATCTCCAGAGCCTGACTCGTTCCCAGAATCACCCCTCCTTCTCTGCCAAAACTCCCACCTCCTATTTCCTGCCTCAGCTCATTGGCCATAAACTTTTTTTTATTGACAGGTGATGTTTCCTACAGTTCCTGAGAATTCTCTCTACAGACGTGTTTAATCCACTCTAACTCATTTTTAAAAACATGTTTCAGATTTGAATTTGGGAAAGAGACATCTCAAACTCTGAAGCTTGAAAATGCTTTGTATTTTGATCGAAAATACCTCTTTGCAAATTCCAAGACTTACTTCAACATAGCAGTGGATGAGAAGGGCCTCTGGATTATCTACGCTTCGAGTGTGGATGGCTCAAGCATCCTCGTAGCCCGGCTGGATGAGAGGACATTCTCTGTGCTGCAGCACATCAATACCACATACCCCAAATCCAAGGCTGGCAACGCCTTCATAGCTCAAGGAATCCTCTATGTCACAGACACCAAAGACACGAGGATCACGTTTGCCTTTGATTTGTTAAGCGGAAAACAGATCAATGCAAACTTTGATTTCAGAATGTCACAGTCTGTTCTTGCCATGCTATCGTACAACATGAGAGACCAGCATTTATACTCATGGGAAGATGGCCATCTGATGCTTTATCCTGTGCAGTTTCTGTCAGCAGCATTAAGCCAGCGATAGGCTTGCTGTCTGCTCCCTCATTATACTCCACATGCTTTCTAGGGTTTGTTCAAGCCCAACAGAAAGCTAGCCTGTAAAGGATACCCAGATACTCGGAGCATAAGCCCGAGCCACAGGCTCTTGTGCAAGCAGCGAGTCCTCTTTCAGCCAGGTTGCTTAAATAGTTAGAGATTGGAAGTAGGAATGGATGAGATCCTGTGACCCTTAATCCCTCCTCAGACTCAGCAAGTTAGCTCTCCCCCGTGACGTTAGTGTCCCCATCGGCAATATGAGACATCTGAGTATGACTGACAACATTTCCTCTGCCTATATGAAGTTCTGTGATTCTTGCCTGATCATATATTAGATTGCTTTCTGGTTTCTTATTTTTTTTCTCCACATGTAAATGAGTTTACCTGCAGCTTGAGGGGTGCGCCTATCAGTGATGACATACACTTATTAGGTACTTAGGGAAGGTGCACTGGCTCTTATGGCTTCTAAGGTATTATATTATCCATTATTTGTTATTTTTCTCTGAATACACACCAGCCACTACAGAACGATTCTAATTTTCAGCTCCTAAAGACAAATCCAAGATTAATAAAAATCATGAATAGATACAAGCTCAGGACTCTAAAGGAAACTGCATCAGGCCCGTCTGGACGTCGGTCAATTTCTGATCATGTCCGTTTGCTGCTGGGGTCATAAACGAGAAACCTTCAGTTCGTGCGTGGTTCCTTTTGCCAAGGCCATGGGATTGTTATCAGAGTATCAAACACTAAGTGGCCAGTAATCTGGTTAGAAGCATGGAGACATGATGGCTTTTCCAAAGACAGGCACCATTTATTTGTACTTGCTGTCTAGAATAAGGGAAGGCAACTGGTTTAAAGGCCAAAGTCAGCTTATCTCCCATCCCTGTACATCGAATCCCTGCACCTAAGAATCACGACTCAGACCACGACAGCGGTGAAGCAGAGCAGCGCTATAAATCCCCAACCACACTGCCTAGGCCTTTCCAGAAAGAAAAACTGCTGACCTTTAAGGATACAAAACGAGCCAGGCTCTCGGAAGGACTCACTCCCTGGGTTTTGTTAGGCTTTCTTTAGACTGAGAAGCAGCATTTATGCTTGAGTTTTAGTGGAAGGGACAGCTAAGGACAGCATTAGATGGAGTAAGAGAGCCTCCAGGAATGGAGGTGCTCACTCCCACGTGGTTCTCAAGGTTGGGTCTGGTCCTCTTGGTTACTAAGGATCTAGTTTAATTGGCTCCTATAAGACCTTAAATAGCCATGATCTCTGCCAACTCCTTCTGCCTGGCACTGAGTTCCAGACAGCCCTGTGGAGCTTCAAGAGGGAGCTAGGAATGGCAACTTTAAAAACCTAGATTTGTATGAATTTGGACCAGTCCCAGTTCCTTGGGGAAAGAATGATACAATACTACTGTGCTGGATAGTTTTACGTCAATGGAACACAAGCTAGAGTCTCTTGGGAGGAGGGAGCTTCAATTAAGAAAACGCCTCATAAGATCTGACTTTACGTAAGTTCGTAAGGCATTTTCTTAGTGACTGATGTGGGAGGGCTTGGCTTATTGTGGGTGGGACCACCTCTGGATGGTGGTTTCGGGCTCTATAAGAAGCAGGCTGAGAAAAGCCATTGTAGCAAGCCAGTAAGCATCAGCTCCTTCCTCCAGGTTCCAGCCTTCCTACAATGGTGAACAGTAAACAGGAAATGGATGCCAAATAAACCCTTTCCTCCCCAGCTTGCTTTTTGATCACAGAGTTTCACTGCAGCAATAGAACCCTAACTAGGACACTTGCATCCCTTGATTAGTCTTTGTGGAATGCTCTAGAAGTCGTACAATACTTAAAGTATACATGTTCTGCTAAGGCATGGACACAATGTCGCTAATTTCTGTGTGCTGGCTCGTATGATTAGGCAGGTAACATTGTCAATCCACTAAAAACAGTCCCTTAACGGCACAATGACTTTACACTAAGACTGCCTCCGCCAGAGGAAGAGCAGTTAAGGACGCCACGCCTATGGCTTCCTGCAAACACCTCTCCCCTGCAGCTCAGTATGCACGGCTATCTATGACTTTGATAACTGAAATAATACCAAACAGAAAAGTCGAAAACATTTAAAAAGATTCTTGCACCTGTAAGTGGGCCATTCTGACTTGGCATGTAATTTAAACATCTTGTAGCTCCTAGAGGTGGAATTTAAAACAAGGATGGAATTCATCTCTCAGCCTCGCTTTCTTTCCCCTCCAGCAAGCTGTTATGGTCAACCTCAACAAGTAAAGTTGTTTCAATTGTGTTTATCTTTTAACTTTTTAACAATTGTGTGTGTGCCTGTATCTATGTGTGTGGAGGGGTGCCTCTGTGTGTGTGTGTGTGTGTGTGTGTGTGTGTGTGTGTACACATGCATGTATTTGTGTGCACATGTGTGTGTGCAAGTGCCTATGTATGCATCTGTGTGTGTGCATTTGTGGGGGCATGTATGTGCATGTGTGCAGGTACCTGCTGAGTCCAGAAGGTATCATATCCCCCCTGGACCTGGAGTTCCAGACTGTTGTGTGTCAGAAGCCAAACCCAGGAAATTACCTGCTGTTCTAAGAGAACCTCAGGAAATTACCTGCTGTTCTGGAAAGCCTAGTCAGTACAAAGTTAAGAAAGGGTGTTCGCGGGTTTCAGGTCCCAGGAACTCAAAGAACGTCTGGTATTTCCTGGGAGCCGGTTATGACAGTGGGATGGTCTTGGGCAATAGGATATGACAGTGGGATAGCCCTAAGCAATGACCCTTGCCTAAACTTCCCGTTTTGCTGTATCTTTATAACCTGCCTGTGAAATTAAAGTTGCAGAGCTTGATCAGAACCCCAGACTTGCTCTCATCCTTTGTGTCTCTTGTCCTTTTATTCTTTTGCCCCCTTCCCTAGGGTCTCGTCGAATCCCCCAGGGGCTGGGACAGTTGTGAGCTCAGGTCCTCTGGAAGAGCAGAGCAGGCTCTTTACCCACAAGTGGTCTCGCCAGCCCTTAATCAAATTTCAGTTGATAAGTGAAGTCTTATGAGAAGACTAGAGCCTGGATCCTGTGACTAGCAGTTTAGTTTTGTCAAGATGCAAGTCTTGTTTGCCAAGGAACCTTCTCCCCAACCACAGGATAGGGCCATTATAAGACACACAGTCAACATCACCATTTTAACATCCAGGAGAGTAGAACATCAGAAGACGACTAACTCCAAGTGCAGCTGGAATGCTAGAGTTTGCCTGACTTCAGAACATTCTACTTTATTCTGTCATTAACAAAGGACATCCGGCCTGCAGTGCTGGCACACGCTTTTAATCCCAGCACTTGGGAGGCAGAGGCAGGTGGATTTCTGAGTTCAAGGCCACCCTGGTCTACAGAGTGAGTTCCACGACAGCCAGGGCTACACAGAGAAACCTTCTCTCGAAAAACAAAAAAAAAAAAAAAAAAAAAGAAAAGAAAGAAAGAAAAGAAAAACAAACAACAAAACAAAACAAACAAAGGACATCCGGTTCCTGTCATTAGAAAGTAGGCATAACTAACTTTAACATGTGTATGAAAGCCATTCCTTTCTGTGTGTTGTCTTGCTTTTGAGACAACATAACACATTGTAGGCTGGCCTAGAACTCAGCAGATTCCCAGCACTGAGGAGGCAGGGGCAGGGGCAGGAGCAGGGCAGGGGCAGGGGCAGGGGCAGAGGCAGGTGGATCTCACTGAGTTCCAGGATATCCTGTTCTACATAGCAAGCTCCAGGACAACCAGGACCACATAGAGAGACCCTGTCTCAAAAAACAAAAACAAAAACAAACAAAAAACAATAAAAATAAAAACAAAAATGAAATTAAAATATTGATTTAGAAGTCAAGCTTAACTGTGAACCCCATATTTACATCTGCTAATGCTGCCAAAACTTTCTGAGTGTAGTCCCAGAAGGAAGCCACTGTTCTTGGTAGAGCGACTCAGGCTGCCACTGGAACAATGAGATGACCCCATTGTCAAAGCTCAAGTTGCTGCTAGTTGGAATGACATCCAGTGGAACATGATGCATTGGCTGGTGTTAAACAGCAGTTGCAGACTTAGGAGGGAAGCAGGGACTGGGGACAATGACATTATGTGGGTGCTGCGGGGATTAACTGACCCTCTAGACGTTTTGTTAAAGGCTGAGCATGATTAACAGACAGCAGAAAGCTAAGTAGACAAGCCAGCAGGCTCCACGCATCTCCAGACACCAAGAATCTTCCAAAAGGATAAAATGAAGACAAGGTCTGGTACTTGAACATCTAAATTACCCAGAGCCAAAGGCAGACTTCCAACAACCACCCGCTTTAACATTTTACTGAATTCAATCTGCAAGGATTTTTAATATTATTTTCTGAGAAAGGATCTCATTTAGCCCAGACTGATCCTGAACTATATACATCAGAGAATAACCTTGAACTTCTTTTTGATCCTCTTGCCTCAACCTCCCAAGTGCTGTTTTACAAATATGAAAGATCACATCCAGTTTTATGTGGTCCTGGGTAAAATCCAGAGCCTTGTTCATGTTAGACTAGCATTTCCAGCTTCTCTTTGTTTAACTTTACATATATATGTATTCACATATATACACATGTATACATATACACACTATACCTATATCATTCATCTATAAATAATCTATACCTATATCCGAAGAGAAGAGAAAGAGAGAGAGAGAGAGAGAGAGAGAGAGAGAGAGAGAGAGAGAGAGAGAGAGA